CCCCAAAACCCCAAAACCCCAAAACCCCAAAACCCCTGATTGATTTCTTCTGTTGAAAATATAGCAATCATTGTTTTACATCGCGCTTGAACTTTCACTAAACATAAAGAGATAGCTTACTTGGTGCCTGATCCAAAGCTGAGGTCTGCATTCATTAACTCTGAGAGCATTTTCTCCCCTATATCCATTTCATTGTTTGTGGTGTCCATCAATTCATTCTTCTTTGTTTGTTTTTTAGTGACAATTTCGGTCCTATTCATCCTGTTCTCATTCTTAAAATAGTTAAAAAAATCATTTTCTTTGTAATCACCCAGATCAGACTCCTCTTCAGATGGAGGCTTGGGCGTTTTCCCAACGATCACTGTAGGATTGTATGGAGATTTAGCAAACCATAGGAGCTCTTTAAAGCAATTACTGCAGTAGTCTGCATGCTCATTTATCCTTGTAGCATTTCATAACAAGCAGTGGTTGATATATTCTTTGTAAAATATAGGCCTCAGGATCTATTTATGAATTATTTGGCTTACTTTCAAGTCAACAATGTTGATTAAGTCATCAACTCCTCCAATATTTATACCATTGATAACCACAAAGGGAAGGTCTTCTAGTCTGCCATATTGAAGAGCTTCCTTCTGTAACGAAGAATCAATACCTAAATCCTTCACTTCGAGAGGAAGATCTGAATGTTCAAGCATGTCTTTGCACTGGTTAAAATCAGATTTAGACCTATTATATAACAAAATTTCTTACATTGTTTTTGAATTTATCGATGCTCCAAAGAGAAGAATTATCCCATCAGTTTGCTAATTTAGTTAAAACCTAAATCGAACCTTTGGTGTTTCTTTCTTGGCCTTTCTTATCATGTACCTTCTGTATGCATTCTGGATTATAAAAGCGCTATTTATGCCCATCACTGAGCAGATTCTTAAAATGCCTTGTTGAAATAGACTCTTTCTTTTTGTACCTGTACTCTTATTTCTAATACGTACCAATCCTTATTTGGGTTCTGGAAACGGGGTTTAGCTGCAAAATTATATGAATAATCAGTGAAGTCATCTTCACTTAGACTTGGTTTATTTAGTATAATAGTTCTGTGAAGGATTATAAGCGAGCTTACTGCTTGGCCTTGATAAGAAGAGAGATCTGAGCTAAGGCAAGATAGGCTAGAGTTATGAAAGAAAACATACTCTGAATCTTCCGATCTTGACAAGGTATCAAAATCTTTTTTAGTAGTACTGAGGATATTGGATTGTAGTGGTACTGAACCTATTAAAAAGTGTTAACAAAGCCTTTCAAATTATTTTTTCACAATTTCTCACCTTCTGAGCCCATTTTCAATAAAATAAATATTTTACGGGGTTTTGGGGTTTTGGGGTTTTGGGGTTTTGGGGTTTTGGGG